CATGAACATTGTACATCTTCTTGTTGATAGGATGTGGGATGGTCAGGAGGTTTACCTTCTTGTACCCATACCCCCTTAGAATTGGCTACTCTGTGTGCCCCCTGATATGAAGGTGGATTTCCACTTCATCTCAGACCCTTGCTGACCGTCTCTCAGCAACAACAAGTAACTTTCCCATCTCTACGTGGTCGTGGACAAGAGTGCCAACGACAGAACCTTCATCTACCTCTTGGAACAAGCCACCGTCTCACGGCTTCGCCTCCTTCAAACTTGGCGTCAGCGGCAGGAACTCCGTCCGTATTCTCGCAGTGGACTCCTTCGGTTTTCGACGTGCTAGGGGTACGATATTCCTGTGGTGAGCAATTCATGATGTCTGAAGAGTCAAGCTGTTCGGGGAAATGGCGTCGTATGACCAAATAATGGCCACAACAGATCCCAAGACACACAAGTTTTTGGGTCGTAACGTGCGCCCTTTCAACTATGCTTTAAGGGAGCGTCGTCGCGAAGAGATTGTGCTTATGGGGTCGTATGCCAAATTTGCTCAAAACCATGACATGAACCAACATCTACTGGAAACGGGTACCCGCCTCCTTGCGGAAGTCAGCCCCTTCGATCGTGGTTGTAGTATCGGCATGTCTGCATACTTTCCAGAGGCTAGCGATTCATCCAAGTGGACGGTTAGCGGTAAAACTTGTTGGGAAAAGCTTTGATGGAAGTTCGACGCCTTTTGCGTGATCATCCCTTGTCTGGCAAGATTGTCTCCGCTTCCAATCCTCCCACGCCCCCCATTTCGCAGCCTCCTCTCCATGGACATCGACGCATCCATGAGGTTGCTACTGCTACAGGTTCTTCGTCTCCGGGGGACCGGGGCGAAGATCCAGCTTGTCTCCGTTTGGACGCTCCACGGGACCATGCTCCTGGCGTTCATATGGTGGCATCGACCTCCGCTTGTGCAGACCAAGCTCCTCTTCTGGAACATGGGTCCGATCTGGTTGGCGGCACGCTCCCGTTGGACTCGGACTCATACACCACCCGGGTTCTGCTGCATGGAGGACCTACAGCCACTTCCCAACTCACGCGAGTGGCGCTGCTGGACTCTGGGTCTCCGGCGTCCTTCGTGTCTGACTCCCTGGTCACCGCCATGATAGACGCTAGAGCTTTGACCGCTGGGAGAGTTCGTGTCTCACCCTTTCGTCGTTGGAGTGGGTTTGGTGATGGACCCCCCCTTGTGACCACCAGGTCGGTTCATCTCACCGTCAACTTTCTTCACGGGGATCGCGCTATCGCTTCCTTGGCGGTCTGGGCCTGTGTTGTTCCAGATGCAGCCATGGGGCACGCCGTGCTTCTGTGTCGTGATAGCGGGATGCGGTTCAACTCTCGCGTGTTTACCACCCTTCCTCACCCTGGACCGGATGGCCGGGTTATGGGCGAGCTCACGCCCTCTCCGCGTTTTTCCGCTGGCGCTTGCGTTTATGCTACACACGACGACGTTACTGCCTCCTCCTTTCACCTTAAATATGCAGGGACTTCGAGAATTTCATCGGGGCCGGAGGCTGCACTCGTTGAGGTGGACCTCGTCCGTTCTTCTGCATGCCCGCGTTGATCGGCGAATGTCTGGTGTCGTTTCGACCAGAAGTAGGTGCGCTATCGTCCCCCGACGCTTCGTTTCCAATGGCATCCAGCGTATTCCCCCTGCAGGTTGTGCTGAGCTGGAGCCAGGAGACGCCATAGGAGTGTCTGCCGCGCCGCTATTACGAGTACCGGTGGAAACCATGAAGGCGACACCATCTTCGATTCCTACCGGTCCCACGGCCTCTACATCACCACCTCGGGTCAACGTCGTCTATCCCAAGTCTGGGACTCGCCGCTCTCCGGACCCAGCTTGAGCCCCGCCTCCCCCGAAGCCGCATCCGCAAGAACTGATGGACTGCTCTTCCGAGGCACAGCGCTCCAGCTTTTCGCGCTTGTGGGCTAGGCTGCCAGCTCATATTCACGACATCGCTTTCGATTTACACAATACGGGATGGACGCCGGAGGCTATTTGTCGATTGGTTGACGCTCTTGTCGAGTATTCTGACGTATTCTCCACTTCGAAAACCGATTTTGGTTCCTGCACCATCATGCCGTTCACCCTTTCTGTCCCGGTATGGACGAAGCCGGTTGCATCACGCCCGTATCGCATCAACCCGTCAATGCAGAAGATAGTGGATGCAGTTCTGGACCAATGCCTGGCGGCAGGGCTCACCCAGCATTCCGCTTCCCCGTGGGTTTCCCCTTTGGTTGTCATCCCAAAGAAGAACGGATCGGTTCGCATCACCGTCAACTACAAGCGTCTCAACGCCCTGGTGGATTTGGATGGACAGCCTCTCCCTCGTGTGGACGGTATCCTGGATTCTCTGTACACCAGGAAAGTGTTCTCCATCTTCGACCTCAGCTCGGCTTTCCACCAGATCGATTGTGACGAAGACACCTTCCCGCTCACCGCCTTTGGCGCTCCCACGCAGCTGTTCGAATGGCTTCGTATGGGAGCCAACGCACGTCCGTCCTGGTTCGTCAAGTTCATCAATCGAGTGGTGCACGGTCTGGAGCGCGTGCTTACGTATCTGGACGATGTCATCTGTTTCGATGAGGAACCTCTGGGACACGTGCTCAACATGATCGAATTCTTCAAACGGCTGCGACAGTACAACCTCAAACTGTCTCCGGGGAAAGTTCGCGTCGGCGCCACACACGCCAACTTCCTCGGTCACATCATCTCCCCGGCCGGCGTTAGCCCTGATGGCCTCAAGGCTGGGGCGCTAACGGACATGCCGCCGCCGCCGAATGTCAAACAGCGTTGGAGCCTTCTCGGTGGACTCAGTTATCAGTTACTACCGGAAATTCCTCAGGAATCTCGCCACCAAGGTGCGACCTCTCACCGCTCTTGCCAAACAAGGTGTCCCCATTAAGTACACCCCGGGCATGGTCACGGTTGTCAAAACGTTGTCAAGCGACTTCGCACGCCCCCCCATTTTGGTCTTCCCGGATTGGGCGGCGGTCGAGGACAACAGCCGTCCTCTTCATTTGTGTTCAGCTCACGAGCAGCCAACCCTGGGCGGAATGTGGCCAGGATATCCTGGGCAGATCATCGGGAGCCCATCATGGGCGGCACATCGTTGGCAGGTCATGGGCAAGTCAGCAAATGATGGGGAGCCCATGGGCAGCCTTTTTTGGGCATCCATTGTCGTGGGCAGCCCATCGTGGGCCGCCGATGGCCACAACCCCTCTATCGTGGGCTACCCACATGACGGTTGCCCACGGGCAGCCTACTAAATGCTGACCATCAAAAGCAGCCAACCCGTGGCAAGCATGTTGAAGACGGCAATTTGGCCGCCCATGGGCTACCCATTGCAGGTGGAATTGCTGTGAAATGTCGGCGGCTAAACCTTGAGGGCCCACATGGTGAGTATTTAGGGAAATGTTCCCATGGGTACGGCCGTTGGCGGCCTATCTAGGGCGATAGTTGCTACCAACTGTAGGCTCACGTTGGTGGCACATTCATTCTGGGTGATTGAAATGGTGGGTAGCCGATGCATGTCAAGAGCTAAAGCGTTGGGTGCCGAATACAACCTGGCGGGGATATGGGGTAAGTAGAAAGTTTGACACAGGACTCAATTGTTAGTGAAGGGAGGACGCTGGCCCACGTACGGTAGAAGGAAGATCGAACTAATCCACCCAACCAAAATGATGTTGTCGTCCAAAATCGTCGATCTCCCAACAGAAAGTCATCGTCCGAAACCCATTGAACCTCGGAAAGTCTTTGCCCTGTGTCCATGAAATGTCAATATTTTATCCTCACATAAGTGGATACTGGGACTACACATGTGGGTTTCATTCGGAATATTGCGGTCAGTACTACCGTGCAGGAATGAAGCTATGTCCCCCACCAACCAATACTCCAACTACCTATCCACGCCAAACCCTGCTTTCAGAGCATATCCAAAAAGCACCACTACCTCCGAGTGGGGATAGAATCCCCACTGCGTTCGTACACATCATCAATGGCAATCATCGGTAGTTGCCGTTTTGCCACGTGTTCGAAGAAGTTCAATCAGTCCCACTGCTGTGAATTCCCGGGACAAGAACTTGTGCGCTGTCAAATATGAGCTCTGCAGGTGAAACGCGAAAGCTGCGAACGGCGTGCACTATTGGGACAGTATGACTCGAAAACAACGTACAAACAGCATCCTATGTCAGCCTCCTCCCGTCACCCGCGGACTCGACACTGCGAAAGGCTTCCCTCTCCAGAATACCATCCGCCAGTCAGTGAAAATCGTCACGGTTATTGCGGCAACATCAGATTCACTGCTTACTGTCAATTCCCAGGACATGCAAACACATGCATTGGCAAACTGTGAGCTCCGCAGGTAAAAAGCGATTATTCCCGATGCGACATAGGGTCACCTACGAGACAACAATTGATGGAAGAAGAACCACCAAAGGACGACGAATGGATTCTAATCTCAGCCTCGTGCCGTCACCTGGTCACTGCGATGCAAAACATGAAACAGCACACTTTCGTGCTGCCACAAATATCCTGGCGCACCGGGATTTGGAAAAACTAGTACACAGCGCATACAGCAAAGCCACTTGCCGCCGACGAGGAAATTAGCGAGTACTTCCTCCGTGCACGTCAAGGAACACTTCATGGGTATTGGAGCTTGCGCACACACGTACATGATCTAGACTATATCCAAGATCCCACCACTGCGACTTGTTGGGGGGGACACGCACACACCTACCTATGAACTGCCAAAATATGAGCTCCGCAGGTAAAACGCGGTACATCCGGATCCCCCCAACAACATGTAAGCCGGTCGCCCCGGTGGTCTAGTGGGTTACCTCGTAGCCTGCTGAGGGCCAGGTTATGGTTTCGAGTCCCGAAAGAGTGAGTTTTTTCTCGCTTATTTAATCCTGGTCTCCGTTGGAAGCGACGCGCTGCAAAGCTCGTTGTTCGTAAACCTGATCGACTTAATAGGTCGCGAGGGAAGGGATTGCTGTACCCTTCTCGCGATAAAAATATCTCAGGCAGGAACCGCAGGAGTGGGTCCGCCCCCCCCCCACTATGTGACCCCGGATGGGTGGTCTAGATAGTAGAAGTGGAGGATGGGGGCCAGAGTGGCAGACGACAGAGTCAAATGATGGGAGAAAATAAAAATAAACGCAAGAGTGTTCTAAGAACCAAACAACAGCGGGCAATAGGCTATATAGACTATATGTTGCCATCGTCACCAACGACGCGGCACTTCGACATGCATAACATAAAACATGCAATTATGTCGTGCTGCTACGAGGATAAAACGGCGCAACAGGCTTTCCAAAAACCTTGCTTAATCCTCCCTCCATCATATACATTACCCCACAAAAGCAACCACTTGCCACTGACCGAGACGCCTAGTCTATACTTCCGTATACATGAAGCTTCACCGGTATGGGGCTTTGGCACATGCATAAAAAACATCCAAATGTCCCACCACTGCCGCATGCCGTGAATTCCCCGAACATGCAAAACACATGCAATGACAAACTGTGTAGCATGAGCTTCGAAGGTAAGAGGTAATTCCTCCGGATGCCGACAACAAGACGACATCAAGCGATCGGGTAAGAAACTATGGCGTATACTGTAGTAGTCCGATCTCCCCGGACACCCGTCAACGTGGCACTGCAAAATGCGCATCATGAAAAATGCAAACCTCTCGACTATCACGGAATAACGCGTTCTGGGATTACACGCCGAATCATCCCTCCACACAGTAGAACAAAATCACCCTCTGCTGAGGAGCAAGATGCTAGTACGTTCGTCCACAGGGAGAATTGTTGCGGTACTGGCACACACATCCAAGGGAATCATGTCCAAGAGTCCCATTGCTGCTGTGAATTCTATAGGACAAGTGGCAGACTCTCACCCCCCTAACGCAATACATGTGCGAATACGGACAGAACGAGAAGACCAAAACCACAGGACGAATAGCATCTGAGCTTCGCCGTTACCCGTCAATGTGGCATGCACTGAGACATGCCAAATACCAAACACGTCAACTTTCTTTCGTGCTGCTATTGTAGCACGGAACACCGCCCTTTTGTGAATGCATACCGTCCGCAGGTAAACAAGTACCATTTACTAAAGCAAAACCACTCTGCTGAGGAGCAAAACACCAATACGTTCGTCCGCACGTTCGTTGCGGCACTAGGACTACAATGAATCAACAAGATCCAAGAGTCCGTCCGCTGCTGTAATCTCGTAGGACGTTGACATACATGCGTTGGCACCAAATAAGCTCCGCGGGTTAAACGCGAAGGTTCCGAACGCCGACAATTAATTACATATATTGAGTACGAATCTGAAAGCAACGGTCAAATAAAATCCGATCTCAGCCTCCCCACCTTCATTTGGGCACTGAACCATGCAATGAATGAAAAATGCAAACCTGTAGTCTAGTGCTGCTAAATATGACGGCAGCACGGCTTTTGGGAATGCTGCCAAATCCCCAACCCATTCACAGAAAAAGCAAAACCACCCTCTGCTGAGGACCAAACGACCATACGTTCGTCCTCTGGCAGAAACGTTGCGGCACTGGCACACACATGGAAGGAAAACATGTCAAACGGTCCCATCACTGCTATGAAGTACCAGGAAGGGAAAATACATGATTTGGCACACTAGCGCTTCCCTACGTAAAACGCAATACTTTTCCGAATGCCGACAACATAGAACCCGTGTATACGCCCCCGGCGCTACACATGCTAAAAGCACCATGGCACAACACCATCATTGTTGGTGGTAGCTGCACGGCAAGCATGCTCCACTTGCGCTGCTCGAACGACTGGAACACAATATATTTATTCCACCACGTCTACGCCCCCCCCCAACCCTGGGCACGCTGAAAAGGGGCGCACAAGGAGGAAAGCCAACAAGGAAACGTAGGGTTGCCAATTGACATCGTGATTCACAACCTAAACTCATACTAGTGGCGGCGCCGTGGTGACGGCACGATTCAATCTCCGATCGAAGGGCCGAGTTTCCCTGCCAAATAGCGTTTTGACAGGTACTCCCCGTCTCACGCAAAAACCACACCCGCATCTCGAACGACAATACCTCACAAGCGACGCCTGAAATGTACCCCAAGGTCAACTAGCTTCCTTCCTTTCGCTGGGCATCATCCCGCCACGCGTGAACGCAAGGCGTTCGATTTCTCATACCCACGGCATGAAGTCATAAACCACAGAGACCGTTATGCATCTGGGGACCACAGTGTTCGACTAGAAACAAATTCGTAACGCCTGCGCCGAATTTAGTAGTTCGATTCTGCACAAGTGGCAGTGCACGCTTTCTGCTCAGACATACTAGTTGGAACACAGAAAGAAGCAGCACTCGCTTCGTAAGGCCATGGACCAGACAACGTAGCGCGGTGCGAGAACACCACTGTTTCTTGTTGGCCACCCTCCACATTAGGAAGAGGACTTCTCCCCAGGTACTTCGTGCCTGAATATGGATTCTACAGTACAGTACCGCAAATCCACGAAGGTCCGTTTCAGTGTCTGTGGTGTACCACGGGGTGGTTAATGCACCTGACTTAGCTGTGCCACAACTTGATCCAACCACCGAAAGGCGGACCAAACCGTCAAGTTTGCGGTTGGACAGCCCTGACAAAAAAAATGCAAATGACGCAGAATAAACCACATTACATCACTTGGGAGCGACCTGCCAATGCTGTCTACGTACCCTTGTCGGCAGCCTTGTAGTTCGTTTCTTCCCGCCGCGGTTTTAACGGGGTGGCGTACGAGGCAGTCGGCCAAGGTCTTGTCCTCCGTGCAACAAGACTTGTCGTGGCACGTGTCCACGGCATTCAGTTGCCTGAGCCACCTGGATGGGTATGGCATCAATTTTTGCGCAAAGAGGGACACACGA